CAGGGTCTGAAATGATTAGAAACGTATCAGATCAAGGCTGCATCCTGCGCTGAGTAGATGAGGAGGTTCCCCAGCTGTGGTCCCTGAACCACCAGCCCTTCATCCAGGAGGTCTGCGGCATGTCTATGTACTTGTGGTTGAAGATGAGACCCGGCACACCCTATGCATTCAATATTCATATTGACTTTAGGCTACGTTTCTATTTCTTACCTTGGATTTCATGGTATTACATTTTGAATTCTGTAAGATGTAATAAAATGCAGTATACAAGAAATGAAGAGTGACTAGTGGGGTGCCACAGGGTTCTGTCTTGGGCCCGGTCTTATTCAACATCTTTATCAACGACTTGGATGATGGACTCAAGGGCATCCTGATCAAATTTGCAGATGACACCAAACTGGGAGGGGTGGCTAACACCCCAGAGGACAGGATCACACTTCAAAACGACCTTGACAGATTAGAGAACTGGGCCAAAACAAACAAGATGAATTTTAACAGGGAGAAATGTAAAGTATTGCACTTGGGCAAAAAAAAATGAGAGGCACAAATACAAGATGGGTGACACCTGGCTTGAGAGCAGTACATGTGAAAAGGATCTAGGAGTCTTGGTTGACCACAAACTTGACATGAGCCAACAATGTGATGCGGCAGCTAAAAAAGCCAATGCAATTCTGGGCCTCATCAATAGGAGTATAGCATCTAGATCAAGGGAAGTAATAGTGCCACTGTATTCTGCTCTGGTCAGACCTCACCTGGAGTACTGTGTCCAGTTCTGGGCACCACAGTTCAAGAAGGACACTGACAAACTGGAACGTGTCCAGAGGAGGGCAACCAAAATGGTCAAAGGCCTGGAAACGATGCCTTATGAGGAACGGCTAAGGGAGCTGGGCATGTTTAGCCTGGAGAAGAGGAGGTTAAGGGGTGATATGATAGCCATGTTCAAATATATAAAAGGATGTCACATAGACTAGAGGAGGGAGAAAGGCTGTTTTCTGCTGCTCCAGAGAAGCGGACACGGAGCAATGGATCCAAACTACAAGAAAGAAGATTCCACCTAAACATTAGGAAGAACTTCCTGACAGTAAGAGCTGTTCGACAGTGGAATTTGCTGCCAAGGAGTGTGGTGGAGTCTCCTTCTTTGGAGGTCTTTAAGCAGAGGCTTGACAACCATATGTCAGGAGTGCTCTGATGGTGTTTCCTGCTTGGCAGGGGGTTGGACTCGATGGCCCTTGTGGTCTCTTCCAACTCTATGATTCTATGATTCTATGATTCTATGAAATAAAAGAGGCACTGAAATACAATTAAAAATCATGCAGCATCTGGCATGGTGCTTTACGTTTGCTAAAGAGTCAGAAAAATAATTGAGTGGTCTGCCAAGACCCTTGGCAGTTTCCAAGTTGTGCTTCCATGGCGGTTCCAACCTTTTTAGGTCCGTGGGCATATTTAGGTTTTTGGAGCAAATGCATCCTCTCTGGTCATTTCTCTCTCTCACCTCACCCTGGCCCAACATCCCTGCACCAGCCGCTAAACACAGAAGGAAAAACTGCTGAGACACTCCTTAAAGGGGAGTGTAGACCTTCAGTATTCAACCCTACAGTACGTGAATGAATCCCACTGTGTTCAATGGAATTTACAGTGGATGCTCGGGTTGCGAACATGATCCATGCAGGAGGCACATTCACAACCCACAGCATTCGCAACCCACAGCGTCGCATCTGCGCACGCGTGGGTTGCGATTCAGCGCTTCTGCACATGTGCAAAGCCCGATTTAGTGCTTCTGTGCATACATGAGCACCGAAACCTGGAAGTAACCTGTTCCGGTACTTCCTGGTTTGGCATGGTGCACAACCCAAAAATGCGCAACCCGAAGCATCTGTAACCCGAGGTATAACTGTATAATGAATTTGATTGACTAAAATGTTCCCGCAATTAATTGAGCAAAATACTTGTTGTTTTTTTAAGTTCTGCATTATTGCTAATACAAGTATTTTATTTATTTATTTTAATCTCTTTATCAACCACCCAGTAACCACAGTTCTCTGCGTAATGTGCAAAATGAAATTGAAAGTCAATGTTACGATTGCTCAGGACAGCAAAACTCACAACAATATATCAGCTCGTTCTGCCTCTTAATATCTTCTTTCTTCCTTCTGCTCCTGCTCCAGAGGGGAGGCTCTGCCCACAACTGTGGGAAGCTGAAGGTGGGCCACGTGATCCTGGAGGTGAATGGAGTGGCAATGCATGGGAAAGAGCACCGGGAAGCAGCTCGCATCATCGCCGAGGCATTTAAAGCGAAGGACAAGGACTGTGTTGATTTCCTAGTCACTGAGTTTAATGTCTCACTTTAGGGATAGGGCCCAGAAAGGTCCAAAAGCCAAATGCAAGAAAGAAACAAAGCAAGAATAAGGGTTTGAATAGACTGTCACGTGCATGTTAGCACACGTGCACTATCACAAGACCCAGATAACTCCCACCTGAAGCCCAGCAACACATGTACGCATGCCGCGCACAGAGCACATGCAGGATATATGCTTTGGGTTGTTGCACTGGTACTCAAAGCAGCTTCTCTGCTACCACTCCAAGACTGAGCCCGGCCGGGTGGTCTGTGGGAACAAAGAGCAATGGAACATAGAGGAGAAACAAAGAGAGTCAGTCACCTCCTGATAATAGTTCTTTCCATAAACCATTCTCATCTGGTTGGTGAACTATGGCGTAGGTGTCCCATCTCTGCCTATTTTGTCTCTGTGTTTGAATGACTTGGCCAGTCACTTGTCTGAATACCTCGCCCCACCCTCTCTAGCTCTTCCATTGCTTGCACCGTACAGTAGCATTTTGCACCTGCTTCAGAGCACCTGTGGGTTGGGTGAGGGAAGAGCCCACCTCCACTTCTCGAGCAGTCCTAGAGGAGAGAGGGGCCTCCAGGAGGCGCCATTTGTAATGCTTTGGGGTTTAACCTCTGTGACACACCTGGCGTGAGGTTCCTATACTCTGCCTTCCCACACATTCACAGCCTGCCATGAACAATGCCTTGTAAATGGCCAGCAATGTCACTGTATTTATATATGAAAGAGCTTGTGCTTTTAATTTTTCAATAAATGAAACACGTTAGGAAATGACAACTTGTTTGATTGGTTATAACAGGGTGGGGAAACTCAGACCCAGGAGGCCAAATACAGGCCTCCTGCACTCTCTATTTAGTCTTCAGTACTCTCCCCAGACAACACCCTAGTGTTTTTGCCTGGCTAGGATGTGTCCTTCAACTCTTGACAATACCTCTTGCTTGCCTGGGTGGAGGATAGAGAGGGCTGTGTGCATATAGAAACTAGCCCATGGAATGAACCCACTTCTGCCTCTGGCCCCTGCCCATCACTGGCATGTCAAGGTTGCCCTTAAGAAAATGCAGGCCCCAGGTAGAAGAATGTTTCCCGATAGAACTTGCCCTTATGAGGCAGTTACAAGGACCAAAGGTCTCCGTCTTCCCCCAGCTCATTAAGTGTCCTCCTTCCCCTGTTCCTTCCCAAGCAATCTGAGGATCGTCATCATCTTGTCTGTCTTTGCTCTGCCCTTTTCATACCTCTTCAGGTTCTGGGAGACGAAGGGGGATGATAGCTGGTCGCAGCAGGAGGGGGAGACAGCCTGGCTTCCTTACCAGCCTAACTCATCTCTGCCTCTTGACCTCCCTCCTCTCCTGATGCAGCATCTGTCTCTGACTCTGGGCTGCTTTCTGACTGCCTTTTCTGCTCATTTCCTGTTACCTCTTCAGCTTTCAACACCTTTTCCCAGTCTGCTCCCTTTTCTCCCTCTGACCATACATTGTCCCATTACCAATTCCCTGGTTCTGAGCCGCCTTCTCCTGGGGGGTTCCCTTGGTGGTTCCCCAGCTGATGCCTGACAAATCTACATCCAGCCAGTCCATGACAATATCAATACAGTGGTACCTCGGGTTAATAACTTAATTCGTTCCAGAGGTCCATTCTTAACCTGAAACTGTTCTTAACCTGAAGCACCACTTTAGTTAATGGGGCCTCCCACTGCCGCCACGCCGCCGGAGCCTGATTTCTGTTCTCATCCTGAAGCAAAGTTCTTAACCCGAGGTACTATTTCTGGGTTAGCAGAGTCTGTAACCTGAAGCGTCTGTAACCCGGAGTGTCTGTAACCCGAGGTACCACTGTACATTTAAAAGAACAAAATGCACACATCAGTGACTACTACATGCAACTCAAAAGATGGGCATCCTTTCTGTTTATTGCCCCACAAATTCTACACAGTGAAAACCTTGGATTTTTCCAGCTCAGAAGATTCGCATTAGTGCAAACAAGCGAATGTTTATTTTTAGCTGCAGTTAAATGCACATTTTATAAAATCAGCTGAAAACAAGCTCCCCACCCCGTTCACCCACACAGCCTTCTCAGGTCATGAGGAGCAGAGATTGGCAAAAACTCCTATATGAAATAAAAGATGGCACAGAGGAGTTTTGCAAAATGAGGGTCTTTTAGCTTTTATTGAAACACCGTTTATCTTTTCAACTTTACAAAAACCTGAAGTAGGTTTTAGCAAACAAAAATATAAATGAAACAACATTTCTGCTGCTGCTACTCAGAGCAAGCTATATATGCACACAAAAAAACAACAACACAAACCAAACATTGATACCATGAAATCTTTGATGGAGAAAAGAGGAAAGGGGAGGTAACTTGGTTTGCACTAGCGTTGTTGGCTGGGCTGATGGGAGTTGTAGTCCAACAGCATCTGGAAGAGCACAGTCCCGCCCAGCTCCCCTTCGGGATTACTGTACTATGTGTTTTGCAAAATCCAGCGGGTGGGGAGAGTCCCCCACGTTCTGGCGAGGGGAAAAAAGAAGCGGTTCTCTTTTTTTTACGCGTCGCTCTGCATGCAAATTCAGCCCCGCCCCGATTTCCGACCAATCCCAATATAGCAAGAACTGCCCCGCTTTTAGCAGTCATTGAATTTCAGAGCATACTCTGCTTCTTTGCTAACGGACGCGAGCGGATGTGGGAGGAGGAGCCTTGAGGGCGTATTATGCAGATGTCCCACCAAGCCCGGCCTCTTCCATCCCTGGCTATCTGCCTGCCCAGTATTGGAGGAGACTATTGTTAGCCGCCAAAGTTGCAACTCCAGGAAATTGACTAAAGGGGCCAAGCGCTCTTTTCTCGCCCGCGAAGGCGCAGCTGGAGGAAGAGAAGAACGGAAACTTTGTCGCGCGCCGAGAGCGGAAGGAAAAGCTGGTCTCTCCAGGTGAGTAGCCGGCTCTGGAGACCCCGCGTTTCGCGACTCTCAGGAAAGGACTCCGTGTGGGGAAGGGGCGCGTGAGAGAGACTGTCTTTAAAAGAGGTGGGGAGGCAGCCCAGGATAAATCCCTGCCACCCACCCCCGTCACTGAGAAATCATTCAGTGACGCTTTGACCCCCCCATCTCCCCCCTCCCTCGAGATCTGCTTTCTCTTTTCTTGAGAAAAAGAGAAAAAAAAGTTGAGAACGTGGCCCCAATATGTCGCCAGTTGTGCATCTCTCCCCCTTTTCATGTTTATTTCAATTATGCCTGATTTTCCAGAAGGCTCAACTTAGAAAATGAAATAAAATCTTTCTCTTTTAATAAAGAACAATCTTCGTAGCACACGTCGATGCTTGCTTACTGGGGAGTAAGTCCCGCTGTGTCGGTGGGATGTTACATCCAAGTTAAGGTTGTGTGTAGGGTTGCAGACTTAACGAGTGATGCAGCGCTAAAACTAATAGCGTGTATGCAAAGCTAAGCGGGGTCCAGTATGATTTCAAACTGGATGGGGAACCTCGTGTTGAGATTCCTGCATTGTCGAGTCTCTTCCTACTCTGCAATTCTTTGAGGGTAAGGATTGTGCGCTGCCTTCTGTGTGTTGTTTCTCCCAAAGCGGGAGAAGAACCTGTTGTTGCTGTGGTTGCATCTTAAAGGGAAAAGGCTTTGGCTGCAGTGAAGTTTTGTTGGTATCTGGCTACTTGCTAAGCAACCGAAGGGAACAGTCTAAGGCTGGTGAGTTCATCTGCTTGCTTCGCTTTGAAAGAGTTTTTAGACTTTCCTTCTTAGTTCCAGGGGAAGTGGAAGAGGGGAAGGAAACCACTTAGTTACTGAGGCTGCAATTCTGCTTGTACACTTACCCAGGAGTAAATCCCATGAAACTCAGTGGGATTTACTTCTAAGTAGCTATGCTTTGCAACGACACCAGGCTTAGGTGTGTACGTTAAACTGAGCAACAGGGAACTTCCTAAATTCTCCCACATGACTGGGGGCAAAAGAGCTGTCTGCCCCCTTAAGAACATTGCACCTGCTGGATCAGGCCATCTAGCCCAGGATCAGGCCATCTAGCTGCTGGATCATCCCATCTAGCCCAGCATCCTGTTCTCACAGTGGCCATCATGGGAAACCAGCAAGCAGGAATCGAGCACAAGAGCACTTTCCCCTCCTGTGGTTTCCAGCAACTGGTATTCAGAAACATTGCTGCCTCTGACCATGGAGGCAGAAAATACGTAGTCATCATGGCTAGTAACCATTGATAGCCTTCTCCATGAATTTTAAAGCCATGAAGTGGTTAAGAGCGGTAGTCTCATAATCTGGTGAACCCTCACGTCTCTGCTCCTCCACATGCAGCTGCTGGGTGACCTTGGGCTAGTCACACTTCTTTGAAGTCTCTCAGCCCCACTCACCTCGCAGAGTGTTTGTTGTGGGGGAGGAAGGGAAAAGAGATTGTTAGCCACTTTGAGACTCCTCCTGGTAGTGATAAAGCGGGATATCAAATCCAAACTCCTACTCCTCTTCTTCTTGGTGGCCATCACTGCCCCTTGTGGGTGTGAGTTCCATAGGTTAACTGGGCACTGCATGAAGAAGTACTTTAGTTTATCTGTTTTGAATCTTCCAGTATTCAGCTCCATTGATTATCCACAAGTTTTGTGTAATGGGGGGGGGGCTTCTCTCAATCCACTTTCGCCATGCCATGCCATTACAGGAAATTCTAGGCTTCCTCTCTGATTTTCTTTTAAGGAGGTGGGGGCGATGGCCAACAGATATCCAGCTTTATTAACGGTATTCAATATGCAACATAATAAACATTCCAGTTCCCCCTCCTCCTTTCAGAGGGAAGTTTTGGTTTAGGCAATAAGTCTACAGTAGTGTTATCCTAAATGGGTTGGACCTAAGTGAGTAGGGTCTGTCGATTGCAGTGGGTCTACTCTGGTTGCATCCAATGTTAGTCATACTCAGTGCACCTCATAAGAAGTAAGCAAACGAGTTATGGGGTCCTTTGCAGGGTATTGCTATTATTATTTTTTACACTATCTATCCCTTTACCCCTAGAACAAATATTGGCAGGGCGATTGCTGGCTCAATCAGAGATCCCATTTTACAGATGGAAAGCTGAGAGTCTGACACATAACAGCAGCTTAAGTCAAAGGCTCATATTCTTTTCACTGTAAAAAAAACAAACAAACTTAAGGCTATCTATGTAATAAAAAAATAAAAAATACATCAATCATACTTTCATGCTTTATAGAATTTGAGACTTGAAAGCTTCTCTGTTGTTGCACAACCACCATCAACAACCAGAATGTTCTCATGAGTTGCTCAGCTAACAGAGTATTCTGTCTTTGATCTAAAGCTCCAGTGAGTGACATTGCAAACTCTGGGTTCATTTATTACCTCCTGGGGTACATGTGTGTCTGTGTCTGTGGCTTTGCAGTATAACCTAGAGGTATCCAGATGGTACAAAAACCATGTGAAACACAGCTGGGTACAGAAGAATGGAGAAATTCTGTGTTATATAATGTTCTGACTCTACAGTCTCTCTCTCTCTCTCTCTCTCTCTCTCTCTCTCTCACACACACACACACACACACACACCAGTTTCCTCGTGGTATTGTAGCCTTACCCAGCCTGTTGCCCTCCAAAGGTTGTTAGACTCCAACTCCCACCAGCCCCAATCAGCATGGTCAGTGACTGCAGATGTTGGGAGATGGTCCAGCAATATCTAGAGGGCCACAGGTTCCCATCTGCTCTGATTAAAGGGTTCATTTTCAAAGATTTGGTTTTTAAATCAAGCAAAATATGCCACATGCCAAGCAGAAAATATCAAGCCACCCACTTTGCAAAATGTATGTGATCTTACAGCAAAGCTGTAAAGCTGACTTTTAAGACATTTCCTATCAGTTTCAAAAATGTTAAAAGCAAATGACATCCTCACACTTAAGTTTAAGTTTGGAAGACCTTTTAGTTTCTATTTTTTATTAAAAAATCAAAAAAATCCCATATGCTTATTTTTAAAAGAAGAAGTAATCAGCTGAGTACAGAACTCAGGGCTGTTCTCAGGGCTGTCCTTGAGAACGGGGAGATTGCTCTTCTTCTCAGCTCTCCCACAGCTGGCATGTGGATATTGTGGCCAGCATACTGAATGAGTTCAATTCTGTGTTACAGAGTTTGATGCCTTATATATTATACTGTTTATGGATTTTGATGTTTTCCACCCTGTATTTAATTTTTACTGCATTATTGCTTTTTTTTTTTTTTGTACATCACTTGGGGATCTGTTCTGATGAAAATCAGTATGTAAGTACTTGACATAAATAATAATAAGTAAATAACTGACAAAATTTCCTCTGGATAGAGTACAACTGGTTTAAAAATCCATTGGTTTAGAAATCAAAGATGAGTGATGGGTTGAAATTAAAATGTACTTCTCCACCTTAAGCTGCTTATTTATTTATTTATTTATTTAACTAACTCAGTTGCTTAGAGCGTGGTGCTGATAACACCAAAGTCGCAGGTTTGATCCCCATATGGGACAGCAGCATATTCCTGCATTGCAGAGGGGTTGGACTAGATGATCCTTAGGGTACCTTCGAACTCTACAATTCTTTGATTTTATGATTCTAAAAAGTACACACCCCTTACATGACAGAAAATGTCACAGTGGTCTATGGAGAATGATCTAAAATATTCATTTTAAAAACAGTGATAAATGCAAACATTAAAATCATTTATTTATTTAAAAATATCAAAATAATGAATGAAGCCAGTAATGGTTTTTTGTTTTAAAAAAACTAATATGCGTAATAAAATGTAGTGTTAAAATTGCTGCATGTTAAACTTTGATGCCTTGGGAGGTTTGTCAAAACACAAAACAGAAAATTCAGCAGACGTCGAAAACCGTGCAGGAAAAGTGCCTGCCTAACATTAATAACATTAATAACAATATTTTAAGGGTGCAGAGATAATTCATGTCTGGATTTCATAAAACTTTCCTTGCCAAGAAATTGCAGCCACGTGTCTTAATCTGTAAGCACCATTCTTTGGAAGTGAGCCGGGCTGAGATCTTTGGGACTTAATCCTGTAATTGGTTGCATAATATGGTTTAACTCAAAGTCCCATCGTTTTGGTACTTTGACCGTACTACCTGGAGGGGAAGGGTGGTCCACGATATGTCTATGATTCACTATCATAGCATACCCTCCAAATGTTCCTATATAACTGAGGTAGGGAGCCTTTTTCAGCCCAAGAGCCGCATTCCCTTCCCGGCAACTTTCTCTGAGCCATGTCACATCCCAGAGGTGGGCGGGGCCAGAGGCAAAAGTGGGTGGAGCAATTAAAATTTATCTTTCTACCCGGAAGAGGTCACTTCGGTGCTGCAGACACAGCAAGCTTGTTTGTTTTCATGTACATGTACATAAGGATAGACACACATATGCACACACACACACACCTCTCTGTCCTCCATCGAGGCAAACAAAAATCAGTGTTATCTAGTGCCAGGGGTCAGCAAACATTTTCAGCAGGGGGACAGTCCACTGTCCCTCAGACCTTGAGGAGGGCCAGACTATATTTTGGAAAAATAATAATGAATTAATTCCTGTGCCCCACAAATAACCCAGGGATGCATCTTAAATAAAAGGACACATTCTCCTCATGTGAAAACACGCTGATTCGCGGGCCGGATTTAGAAGGCGATTGGGCCAGATCCGGCCCCCGGGCCTTAGTTTGCCTACCCATGATAGTCACTCGATATGTATATTAAGCTGTAATATGTTACTACACATTGCACACTACAGTAAGGTCAAAACACTCAGTTGCAAAGCTGAGCCAGTAGTGGATGTGGCTGGGGAGGGGTGATGCTTGGAGACAGTCCCAAGGGCTGGTCAGAGGGCCCCATTTGCCCCCCCTCCCAGACCTGAGGTTTACTATACAGTGGTACCTCGGGTTAGAGACGCTTCAGGTTACAG